CTACATGTACAATTAATAAATAAATTAAATTAAAATATGTCTCAGATAAATTCTTTTATCATTTAAGCACAGCTACTGTTGCATTTATAATTTCTGCATATAGAATTTACCCATAAATCCATAAACTCTGAAGTCTAATTATCTCGAATAGTAGTGCGATTTCAGAATTATCAGTCAAACTTTATTAGTCATAAATACGAACATTCAAGTAAAATGTCGTAATCGCATGATCAGAGAAATTCCCCGCTTGTCGCGATCGACAAAAGTAATCCGGTTTTGCAATTACACGAGACTCATCACGATAACCCCGACTCCAATTAATAATGACTTCTTCTGTAAGTTGGTAACTTTCCCCCGTTTCGTAATAATCTCGAAACCCTCCTCGGTTTCTCCTTCATGCGAGCCTCCGTCATTCAGAGTAACCGCGCGGGGCTCGAAAAATGAAGATGAAAGAAACGCGTGTTCTGTTTTGGTTAAAACGAGTCGTCGAGAGAAAGAGAAATTCGCAGAGGGATTATATTTCAAAACGAGACGTACGTTGTTGCTTCGAGAGGGGCGACCGATCGAGTTTTACACGCGAGACACGCGCGTACACGTAGTCACGGACTCGCGAGAAGTGCATATGCGCACGCACTCTCTAAGCTCATTCATAACTCCTCGAACGCGAACCTCGGCTTCCATTCACCGTCGTTCGACGCGTACAACACAATACGCCACCCCTTTTGTCCGACCGTGAATCAAAACGTTTGCATTATTTTTTCCGCCCCTCTGAACGACTTTAAAATCTCCACCCGCCAAGCCTCGACTCTTATCGCCGTTATAAAGAGAGGGCATTAGTATTTCCGTACACAATTTCATGTCAGGGATGTTAATAGTGAATGCTAATGTACATTTGATATCGTTTTAATCAACACTTCGTCGTGATTTACTCAAATAGCTTCACGTTTAAATCAGAACCAATTCCATTCGATATTACTCCATTTAAAACTCTTTATTTTCTTAAGATTTTATGAGGCGTAAAATTTCTGCCAAAATGAAATAAAAATTCTGTCACTCGACATAAGAATTCAAGATATAACTTTTTTAATAAGCTCGT